TTTTTTAACAAGTAACAACCCACTTTCCCAATTAGCAACTGCTCTGCTTTAGCATCGCCTTCTCACATCACATCACATATCGAACTCTCTCAAATCTGCAAGTTTTCTGCACATGCCTTGCTATATTTCCCAATTGTTTTCCAAATCTCACCCAACACTCATTGACTTCTCTCTCAGGAAGCTTATCTTCCCCCCACTCTCTCAGTCCAAGTGAGAAACTGTGAGAGACTGGGTTATGGAGAGGCAGAGAAGTTTCTCCTTCAAACCCACTAGATTCTTAGTATTTTCTTTTACCATCTCTTCCTCTGTCATCTTTCTCACTTTCTTTACCATTTGGCTCATCAAAACAACTCCTTCAGTACCCCAAGAAACCCGTCTCCAGTTCAACACATCCTCACTCGTTTTGGGTTTCAAACCCATAGCTGTTCACACATTGACTGGTTTCAGTAGGAATTTTTCAGTAAATGGTCTCAAAGATTCGATCTTGAAGGGTACCCGTTTGAGCAAACCTGAAAATGCTTCTGGGTTTTCTGGGATTTCACTTATTAGTGGGTTACAGTTACAGAGGAAGGAGAACGAATCCCAAGTGGCCGAACACGAAGAGGAAAAAGGCGGTGAGTCTGATGGTAATTTCACAACAATTGAACACAGTGCACCTACTACAATCCTACTCGTGAACGTTGAGAGGACTGAAGAGAAAAATGCTACATTGAATAAGACTGAAGTCACAAGTAAAAGGAGGATTGACGAGAAGAAGACTAGAGGAACTTCATTTGAAAATACTCAAATTTTAAGTGGCGGGCAGGTTGAGAACAAGAGAGTGAGAGGATGCGATTTTACCAGAGGGAGGTGGGTCTACGATGAGAGCTATCCATTGTACACAAACGGTTCCTGTCCTTTTATAGATGAAGGTTTTAATTGTCAGGGTAATGGAAGATTAGATAAAGACTACATGAAGTTGAGATGGCAACCACAAGATTGTGACATTCCAAGGTAATTGCTCCTCCAATATTTTTATTTATTTGAAAAACCAATTCTAGCCATGTATGTATGATGAATTCTATAAGATTGCTATTTTGGTCTGTACATAATGTAGTTAGATTGCAGTTATGATTCTTGAACTACTGTATCATAGGTTTAATGCAACAAAAATGCTGGAACTGATCAGAGGGAAAAGACTAGTTTTTGTGGGCGATTCAATCAATAGGAATCAATGGGAATCCATGCTGTGCATGTTAATGGGAGCTATCAAAGATCCAAATAGGGTCTATGAGACGCATAGGCGCAGAATCACCAAAGAGAAGGGGGATTATAGTTTCAAATTTGTGGTAATTCTTCACAATTGTTCTCTATTGTTGTTTCATTTGCAGGTTACTCAGTATTTAATTTCTGAAGAAGTTTTTTTTTACAGGATTACAAATGTACAGTTGAATATTATGTGTCCCATTTCTTGGTTCATGAAGGCAAGGCAAGAGTAGGGCAGAAGCGGGTGCAAACTTTGCGAATTGATTCCATTGATCACGGCTCATCTAGATGGAGAGGAGCTGATATTTTGGTATTCAACACCGCACATTGGTGGTCTCATTACAAAACTAAGGCTGGGTCAGTTCCATTACTGAATTATTACTCGTTTTGAAGTCTGATGATGGATTAAAACTACAAAGTGACATGTTCACGGAATACAAGGGATACATCTCATATAATTAGATATTTCTTGAATTGGAACCCTGACATTTGGAGCTTATAACAGGATTAATTACTATCAGGAAGGGGGCCAAATTCATCCACAGCTTGATGTTTCCACAGCTTTCAGAAAAGCTTTGATGACCTGGGCATCATGGGTTGATAAACGCATCAATCCACGGAAAACCCAAGTTTTCTTTCGAAGTTCAGCACCATCCCATTTCAGGTTTGCATGTATTCATGTTGCATAAGATTCTTATATGGCAATGTCGAACTTCTGCATGGTAGTTGCTGAGTGGTTTGTAACTGATTGAACAGGGGAGGTCAATGGAATTCAGGCGGGAGTTGTAAAGAAGCAACTCAACCGCTTCAAACTTCAAGCTCCTCTCATTCTGAGAAAAATGTAATTGCAGAGGAGGTCATAAAGCAGATGAAAACTCGTGTGACTTTCTTGAACATAACTGGCTTGTCAGAATATAGAATTGATGGTCATCCATCTATACATGGAAGAAAATCAGGGAAACACTCCTCTTCAGGCATTCAAGATTAATGAATTGTTGTATGCTCATTTGCAGTAACTGAAGGTAAACAGATTTTTTATTATAAATCTTTTATCTAACTTGTAAATAATTATTTCATCGTTTGTTCAGTGAGCTGGCTTACTGGCTGGCTTATAATTTTGGTTTATATATAATTCTTTGAGGGCTACCTGGGAATGCAAGTGAAATTTCATGATTGTTTAGGACTGTAACATTATGTTTTGGTCATGTATATTGGTTGGTCACAGCAGCAACCGCGAAGGATGGGAAGGTGCATATATATCTCAAACTCAACCACATGCTTGGCATGGGATGGGATAAGCCTAATTTAGTAGAAGGCATGTTGTTTTTGTTGAGGTAGGCAGTCTTTGCTGGTTGAAAGTTGGAATGGACTACCACCACCATCATGCATCCATATTCATAGGTAGATTAATTAGATGTTGAACTTGGGAATTTTAATTTGATTTATGGATCAGTAAACCACTCGTTTTATAATGGGCTAGTTCATCTGGGCTGTCCTTTTGACCACTAAATGAGGCTTTTAAGCTCTGAATTGAAAAATTGGGCTACATTCTTTTCTAAAATTTCTGTCTGGGCTTTAGTGGATCTCTTTTTTCTGGTCGTGGGCTCAATTTTCATGCATTGGTCTACACCATTTGTTTCATGGCCCAAAGTTTCTCTCTCTCTCTCTCTCCAAAACGAAAAGGAAAGAATACAAACTACAAAACACTGGTTAGACTAGACCAGGCCACGACATATGATATTATTACCAACACAAACAAAAGAGAAAAGGGCACGATCCATACAGCTGAGCTGAGCAAGATTCATATTATTCCCAACAGAAACTGAGCAAGATTGATAGATGCTATCCTGCCAGTGCCATGCCCTCTTGATCATAACCATTCTACTCTATCAGATATTTTGATATGATTTTGCCATGTCTGATGTCTCCAGGAATTTTCCTGTGGCAAAATCAAGAGGCTCTCAAACATTGATTTTGAAGAGAAGGACCTTATATATTAATTAATTAATTACCAAAACTTGTAATTTCTAATAACCAGTTCAAGCTAGCTAAGATGCACACCACTTAGCTTTGCCTTCTGAGAAGCATTTTGTCGAACATCCTTCCCCTCCTCGCCAGAAAATGAGGATTTGAATGTCATTGTGATGCCTGAATTCCAAGTTCTTTGTTTGTGGTTAATTAATAAGTGGTTACTATTCAATCTGCATGGAAATTGGAACGAATGGTCTTCCTTTCATTCCCTGACGTTAAGTGAAAGGGCAAAAGAAGCCAATTCATGCACATGCCAAAATTGTCATGCCCGCAGCAACACACGCACCTCATCCGCTTCCTACAACGCTATCTAAACCAACCCATGTAACATTCACCATTCTCAACTAAGCCTTGAGCTTCCAACAATGATGTAAAATAATGAAAGACAAATAGATGGTTTTTATTTTATGAACAACCCACCACACACATTCCCAATTAGCAAAACAACTGCTCTGCTTTAGCAAATTAGTCAGTACTTACTCCCTACTCACTTTTTCTGCAAGTTTGCTGTACAAGCCAAGCCAAGCCTTGCTACTTGTTCTGGACTCTCTCAGTCCAAGTGAGAAACTGATCACAAATTATGAAGAGGCAGCCGAGTCTCTTCTTTAAATTACCCACTAGATCCTTGGTATTCTATTTTAGCCTGTCTTCCTCTGTCATCTTTCTCATCTTTCTCACTTTCATAATCATTTGGGTCAACAAAACCACTCCTCCTAATTCAGTGGTGCAGGCCCAAGAAATAGGCAGCTGTCTACAGTTCAACACATCCTCACTCGTTTCGGGTTTCAGACCACCCATAGGCGCTGTGCCTGTTCACACTAATTTGACTGGTAATTTCAATACAAACATTTCAGTTACAGTACATGGCCCGGAAGAATTGGTCTCCAGTAAGCCTGATGAAAATACTTCTGGCTTTTCTGGGATGAATTCACTTGTTAGTAGTGGGTTACAGACGAAGGAGAACCAATCCCAAGTGCCACGACATGATGAAGAAGACAGAGGCGGTGGTGAGTTGGACGGTAACTTCACAGCAGCGGCACAAAGTACACCTGCAATGTTATTTGACAAGATTGAGATGAAGAGTGAAGAGCAAAATACTCCATGGAACAAGACTGAAGACAAAAATACTCCATTGAACAAGACTGAAGAGCAAAATGCTGCTTCTGGCTTTTCTGGGGTTAATTCACTTGTTAGTGGGTTACAGGAGAAGGAGAACCAATCCCAACTGGCACAACGTGATGAAGAAGACAGGGTTGAGTTAAACTTCACAGCGGTGGCACCGCAAAGTGCACCTGCAATCTTATTTGACAAGATTGAGCTCAGCACCGAAGAGCAAAATGCTCCATTGATGAACAAGAGTGAAGAGCAAACTGCTCAATCGATGACCAAGACTGAAGAGAAAAATGCTCCATCGATGAATATGACTGAAGAGAAAAATGCTTCATTGATGAACAAGACTGAAGAGCAAAGTGCTCAATTGATGACCAAGACTGAAGAGCAAAATGTTCCATTGAGGAATACGACTGAAGAGGAAAATGCTCCGTTGTTGAATACGGTTGTTGAGCAATATGCTCCACTGATGAACAAGACCGAAGAGCAAACTGCTCCATTAATGAACAAGACAGAAGTGCAAGATGCTCCACTGATGAACATGACTGAAGAGCAAAATGCTGCTTCTGGCTTTTCTGGGATTAATTCACTTGTTAGTGGGTTGCAGAGGAAGGAGAACGAGTCCCAGGTGGCAGAAGTGGCACAAAGTGCACCTGCGGTCTCATTTGACAAGATTGAAATTAAGACTGAAGAACAAAAGGCTCCAGTACCACTGATGAACAAGACTGAAGGGCAAAATGATGCATCGAGTAAAAGGATTGAAGTCATAAGTAGAAGGAGGAGAAGAAAGAACAAGAAAAACAGAGGAACTTCATTTGATCCAAATACTCAGGTTTCAAGTAGCGAAGTCCCCAAGAACAACAGAACGACTTCATTTGATCAAAAGACTCAAGTTTCAAGTAGCGAGATGGTGCAGGCTGAAGACAAGAAAATAATAATAAAAGGAGGATGTGATTTTAGTACAAGAGGGAGGTGGGTGTATGATAAGAGCTATCCCTTGTACACAAATCGTTCATGTCCTTTCATATTTGAAGGTTTTGACTGTCAAGGAAATGGGAGATCAGATAAAGACTACATGAGTTGGAGGTGGCAACCACAAGATTGTGACATTCCAAGGTACTTACTTCCTTGTTCATAATTTTTAATTACAGTACTGTATCTCTGGCCTGCTATATATAACATTTTATCTATATGATAGGTTCAATGCAACAAAAATGCTGGAACTGTTGAGAGGGAAAAGGCTACTTTATGTGGGCGATTCCATCAATAGGAATCAATTTGAATCCATGGTGTGCATGTTAGTGGGAGATATAAAAGATCCAAATAGGCCCAGAATCAAACATGAAAAGGGGATGTATAGTTTCAGCTTTGTGGTAATAAATAATGAATCTTCATAGTTCTTCTCTTCGCTTTGTTCGCTATTGATGTCGTTTCATATTTTGGGTCTTCTCATCATAATTTGTGATGTAGTTGATCATTGTTTTCAACAGGATTACAAGTGTAAAGTTGAATTTTCCCCATCTGTTTTCTTGGTTGATAAAAGCATGAAAAGAGTAGGGAAGAAGCAGGTCCCAACCTTGCGAATAGATTCCATTGATCGCATTTCATATCATTGGAGAGGAGCTGATATTGTGATATTCGACACTGAACATTGGTGGACCGATCAAAAAACTAATGCTGGGTCAGTGAAAACTATCATTATTGAGTATTATAGTGAACTACACTAAGGATAAGCTTTATTAATTTTCAGGACATGTAGCTTAGCTAGGCTATAGTAATTAATAAGTAGTAGCTAGCTAGCAGCGTACCAATAATACCGTGCTCATTGTTGTGAGATTGAAATCAATGTGCAGGGTTAATTTCTACCAGGAAGGGGACCAAATTCATCCATATCTTGATGTTTATACAGCCCTCAGAAAAGGTATGATGACCTGGGCATCATGGGTTGATAAACACACCGATCCACGCAAAACCCAAGTTTTCTTTCGAACTTCATCGCCAACACATTTCAGGTTGTTATTATGTGCCTCCAGAATGTGTTGTCATATGCAGCATTTCAGGTTTGTTTTGTTTTCGGGTAATTAATCTTTTATTATATTGAACAGTGGAGGTGAATGGAAATCACGCCGGAGTTGTATAGGAGCTACTGAACCCCTCATCCGAGATTCAGGAATTGCAAACGAGAAAGATAGAATTGCAGTGGAGGTTATAAAGCAGATGAAAACTCGCGTGACTTTGTTGAACATAACAAGCATGTCAGAGTATAGAATAGATGCTCATCCATCAGGCATTCTAGATTGTAGTCATTGGTGTCTTCCTGGTCTTCCTGATATCTGGAATGAATTGTTGTATCATCATTTGCTCACTAACTGACCAACCAAGACACACAAATTCTTTTCGCAACCGGTTTATGTGTATCAAACTCTTTCCATCATTTTATTATTTTCATTAGTAAGTTCTACGGAATTTGTTTACAGGCACCAAACTCTCTCTCTCTCTCTCTCTCTCTCTCAGCGCTAGCTAATGTATCCAAAAAACAAAACAAAACAAAAGGTTAGCTAGGTAGACTACAAAATAGGGATAATGCTCCTTTCGCCCACTACACCACGAGACATTGGACCACATCACATTCATGATGCATATGTTTTAGTGCAAAAAGAATTGTACTCTCCTGACATGCTCTCTTCATCACAACCATTCCCATCGAATATTTTGAGGGTACAGTATCACTTGCAATTGAAGAAACCAACTACTCATCTAATTTACTACTACTACCACAGCAAGGTGAAATCAGAAGAGGGAACAAACGGTTTGCAAAAGGAGGAGACTGATTATTATGGACGCACATGTCATTTGGATGGAATCTGTTATTGTTTTTTTTTTAAATAATTGTGATGGAATACCATTGAATTCCAAGTTGTTTTTTTTAATAAGTGGTTGCCATTCAATCTTCATGGAACAAATGGTCCAAACCAAAGCATGCAGGGAGGGACGTCTTCCATCCAAAATAGAATATCAGCAGTTTGTGAAATTAAAGGCAAAAGAAGCCAATTCATGCACATGCGCGCCACAACACTAGAATGCACGCAGCAACACACGCACCTCATCCGCTATTACCACATCTAAACCAACCGACCCAAGTAACATTCACCATTCTTCACCACCTCAACTAGTTCAGGCTTCAACATCATCATCATCAGTTGAGGAAGATGGTTTTTTTATGAAGGACCGACCTTCAACAACAATTCTCTGCTTTAGCTAATTAGCAAATTAGCAGCACTGCCTACTTATATACACATATATCAAATACTACTAAATATTACCGAGCTCTCTATTTGACTCTTTTTCAGGAAGAGCATCCTTTGTCACTCTGTTAGTCTAACAACTGAGAAACTGAGTTATGAAGAGGCAGAGAAGTTTCTCTTTTAAACCCACTAGATCCTTAGTAATTTACTTCACCATCTCTTCCTCTATCATCTTTTTCATTTCCATTTTCATTTGGGTCAACAAAACCAATACTCCTTCAGTCCCCAAAGAAACAGCTGTTCAGACTTCGACTAGTAATTGTAATCCAAATATTTCAGTACTAAATGGTCCGGAAGATTCAATCTTGAAGTTGAATGCTACACCCTCCATTCAACCTGATGAAATTTCTGGGATTAATTCAGTTATTAGTAGTGGGTTACAGACGAAGGAGAACCAATCCCAAGTGGCACAACATGATGAAGAAGACAGAGGTGGCGATGAGTTAGATAATGCTAACTTCACAGCAGTGGCACAAAGTGCACCGGCTGCAATCTTATTTGACAAGATTGAGATCAGGCCAGAAGAGCAAAATGCCCCATTGATGAACATGACTGAAGAGCAAAATGCTGCTTCTGGCTTTTCTGGGGTTAATTCACTTATTAGTGGATTACAGGGGAAGGAGAACGAATCCCAAGTGGCACAAAATGGTTTACATCATGAAGAAGAAGACAGAGTCAGCGGTGAGTTAGATAGTAACTTCACAGATACTGCACAGAGTGCACCTACAATCTTATTTGACAAGACTGAGGTCAAGACTGAAGAGCAAAATGCTCCATTGTTGAATAAGACTAAAGAGAAAAATGCTACTTCTGACCTTTCTGGGATAAATTCACTTACTAGTAGATTACAGAGGTTGGAGAACGAATCCCAAGTGGCACAAAATGGTTTACATCATTATGAAGAAGACAGAGTTGGCGGTGAGTTAGATGGTAACTTCAAAATTCTTTCAATGATTTTAACCTCGTTTTAAAATAAATGCTTCGAGGGCGCAAAGCTGGAACATCCTGTACATCCTGTACGCCTCGTTTTAATTTGTTGAACCTCAAGTTTACTTGCAGCATTTATCTGGGGAGGTTTCTGTCATGAACTCAAAATTACTTTACAGCAGTAGGATTTTCATGGACCTACAACTCACAGAGGTCCATTCCTTGAAAACTTTTGTAAGTAAAATAGACACACACTTAATGAATATATATATATATATATATATATCTCAAATTACTAGTGTCCAACAATTCTTTGCATTTAGCAAGCCTTCCATGAAATAAGTTATAGTATCAAGATAAATAAAGCAATTCCGACCTTTTTATTATATATCAATAAAAAAGGTTGTGCAAATTCCCATTATTACCATCATGACATGCCTCTAACTACAGAATTGTCGAACCCAACCTATAATATCTAACTGCTAGAAGAATTTCTAGCTTATTATTGCCTATAAATTCTATAAATTAACCTCATTGCCAATACAACCTTATTGTTCAATTTTTCTAAAGTCAAGAAGCAAGCTTTGACATCAGCATCTAGCCAATTTCACTTGTAAGGGAGCTGGCTGGCATACCTACCTAGATGCTTTCTTCTTGAGGACGATTCACATCCCACCTGTTGTGGATAAAATCTCCAGAGTTGAGATATGCACCATAGTTGATACTCGTATGCATCCCAATCCATGCCAATTTTCCGTTCAGTGAGATTGGTGTTTCTTCGCTCTGCCTTGAGAGACAGATGAATCATCCCTCTTAGAACCCTCAGGTTTTTGAGCCCATGGAGGTGCTTGATCTGGTCCGTAACGATAATCATAGAAGATCTCCTCACCAGAATCAATATGCTCCTTGGCAAATATGCCTACTCGATGATCTCCGGCAACCAACATAACCTATGCAGGCCACCATATTAGCAAAACCAATAATAACTAATCAAACAGGGGAATCACTGAAGCTTTATTACCTTCGCATAGCAGTTAGGGTTCGATGAGTGGTTTGCAAATTTAAGCTTGTCTCCTTTTCGGTAAGCATCTAGGACATACTGTAATTAAACATGTGACTACCTTGAGATCTCATGCCAGAGTAAAGCTATAGGTATTACACATTTGCCATATATGAAAAATGCAATAAAAAGCTGCAAAGCACTAAGCAAAAATGAAAATAGACAAAAGCAGAATTGGCGGGGAATAACATATGAACAGAGGGGCTGAACCTAGGTTCATTCGGAGGAAAGTGTGGTCAACTAGAAAATCTAGGAAAGTGTGGTCAACTAGAAAATCTGTTTCGTTATCTTCCCTTCTTAAATTTTTGGGATAGTTAGAGAAAGGCTCCATGAGCCATGCAACCCTTGCGAAGGAAAGCAGTGAATAATATTAAACATGAATTTTCCCTTGCCTGATCATTCAAGTCAAAAAGGAATGATGAGTTTGCACGATCATAAATCTTCCCACGCTTATCTGCTTCCTGATGGGAGATGAGTTCACCAGTATACTCTCCAAGATAATCATTTTTGTTTACAGGGTTCTGAAATCATATAATTCAATTTGGTGAGAAAAATTAGCTAATGTTTAGTAGGAAGCCAAATACAAACAACATTATCTTCCAACCTTTAAAAAGGCTCCCCAACCAGCAACATCAGATTTAGCCAAGAGAATCTGAAGAAAAAGACAGGGGTAGGCAATCATAAATCAAAAGGTGCATTATGTAGACCACAGCAGCAATTTATTAACTAAACACTAGGAATTGCTCACCCTCTGTTGTTGCCTTAAAAGAAGCCTCATGTTTCCACATTGACCATCTCCCTGTCTCGGAGGCTCCCCTAATGAACCGTCCCCACAACTGCATAAAGTATTTGATATTTAAAACCACAGCCAAAAGTATAACAAACTCACTAAAATTAAATAAAAGAAACTTTTGAAATGCTTAAATAGACAGGATGTCAACTGGGAACCCAACACAAGATTGGAGCTCAAATTGAAAATATGTGCACGATTCAAACAGCTCAATCAGCTCCATCACGAAGCCCATTACCTAGTGCGACAAAATTGCAAACATTTTCTTTTTGCAGTAAATAACATGCAAAGAGTGTCCAAAGTCAATGAAGTACACATACAAAAACTCATTACCTAACCCAACAATTGCGACAGACATCTGGGTCACATTCGCGCCCAGCAGCAAAGCATGGGCACTGCCGACTTCTGCATTGGCTCTTTGCACAGTGGCATCCCCTGAACCTATTTTTGCAGCTCTTTGAGCACCTGAAAATGCACGAGTTAGTTGGTCATATAAACATTTTCCAATTCAATTATAGGTTCATTAGTATGCAACTAGTGGAAACTTTTGCAGATGGAAAAACTTCCTGCAGCTCTTTGAGCACCTGAAAATGCACGAGTTAGTTGGTCATATAAACATTTTCCAATTCAATTATAGGTTCACTAGTATGCAACTAGTGGAAACTTTTGCAGATGGAAAAACTTCGAGTGAGTACTTCACATAGTGGAGTCATCTAAAAAGTGGGTTATAAGCTGTTTTAGTTAGAATGGACTTAACCAAACTTAATAATCACTTGAAGAAACCAAGCTCAACTTTAGGAAATTAATAGATGCGGGATTCAGGATTGAAGCAATTCACTAAGGCATATAATTCCTCTTCTTTTAGCCAAAGGGCTGGGCGTAGGAATCCTTACCTATTTAACTCATCTCTCCCCCAACATTGATGAAGGAAAGATGAATCCAGTACCTTGTATGAGGCTTTAAGAGATCAAATATACAGGCAAGATGGCACCTTCTACATGTCATGTAATTCACATTTCCTATGGGATAAATTTCGACCACACACAGAGTCACACAAAGCCCAGCACCTATTTATTGTTCATTTTATATAATAAAAAAATAAAACCAACTTACCCGCAGCATGTAAGGGTGTTTCTTATCATATTATTATTATTATTATAAGTATCATCATTTTTCTTTACTTATAAGAAACATCCCATAACTGGTTTTATGCATTTCTTCATATCATCAGTCAAATATTTCGAGGACAATTCCAACATACCTGTTTGTACAAATTTCCTCACGAGAATATTCGGTTGCAAAGCAGTATCATCATTTTT